CCAATCGGTCATCTACCTTCTATCTCTATGGCTTTGCCTCTTGGTCATTTCATATACATAGAATCATATATCGTGTGCCCCTTTGTGTCTGGCTTCTTTCACTTAGCATAATGTTTTCAAGGTTCATCCATGTTGTAGCATGTGTCAAAATTTCATTTCAAAATTGGTTCTTTGAAACTACATTTTATCTAAAGATTAAAGAAAAGCTCATTGAAAATGTATCAAAGACCAAGTATAGCATTTAAGAAGTCCCCAGAACACTTTGTCCATCTCATATCACTGGGCTTCATTCTCTCTGTGGGGTAAAGAATATATTTGATCTAAACATGAGGGGGACGGAGCCTCTGTTATGAAACTAGCCTAATAGTCAGGGCTTCTGACTCTTGGCTAATTTTTGCAACTTAATTTGGGGAAATATAAAGATAGTCTAAACTACTGAAATAGATTTTGTTCATGCTATTGCCTGGAAAGCTGACCTCCGAATTCATGGAAGCAAAGCAAACCCGTTACATTTATTTTGCTGCAGACTCTCATGCTAGAATTTGTGGCTGGGAAACCTAAGACTTTATGGGAACAAAGGAGTTTGAAGTTTCTCTGATAAATACATTCACCCAAATAGAATGATAAAGACATTAAATGAAATAAATATCAATATTATTATATATATCTTAAATGAGTAATAATAGGTATAGGACAGTTAATTTATGGAAGTAGTTCAGCATAGTAGATAATAGCCTGGGCTCTGAAGTTGGATTGTCTAGATTCAAATCTCTGCTGTGTCATTTACCATCTGTTTGACCTTAGGTAACTTCCTCAACCTCTTTGTGCCTCAGTTTCTCCATTTGTAAACTGCAGGTAATGATAACACCTGTCTCATAGTATTGTTATGTGGATTATATTCATTTAATACATAAAAACTGCTTAGCGTGCCTGACACATTGTATAGGTGCTTAGTAAGTGTTAGTGATTAGTATTACTATTGATAATACTGTCCATTCATCTTTAGGCTCCAAACAATTCTTGTAATAATGAGTGGTTCACAGTGGCAGTGATGATATGGCTAGGGAAGGAAGGTAGAAAAACTGACATACTAGCCAAGGACAATTCATCTGGATCACTTTTTCACCAAGTCATGGTGAGAGACAGTGGGTATCTCTGTCAGATTCTGGGGGTTAGGGTACAACTAGGAAGAAGTCGGCGACCTGAGAAGGATATAGTATACTATAACTTTAGTTGAATCACAATCAACTGGAATACTTGTAAAAATATAGAATACTGGACCTTAGCTCCAGAAATTCTGATTTAGCAGGTCTGGCCTGGGGCCCAGGAGTCTGCATATTTCACAGGGGCCCACAGACGGTTCCTATCCTGGCAAGATAGTCTGTGGACCAGACTTTTTGAAAATCACTGTTATGGATATTTGTCTTAGGGTTAACCCTGTCTCTTTCTTCACTTTACCAGCTACTATGATAAATCCTGGAGGTTGGGAATTGTGAAAGTACTCAAACAACAACGCTAAAGAGCAATTGAAAGTCTACTCTGTGCCAGGCAGTGTACGAAGTGCTTTGCTTATATTCCCTTATCAAATCTTCATAACCACTATGTGGTATAGGTGCTGTTAGTACCATTTTACAGATGAGGGAATGGAGCCTCACTGAGGTTAAGTAACTTTATTGAGATCACAGAGCTACTAGGTGGGTTTTGACCCAGCACTATCTGATCCCAGAATTCCCTCTTTCCACTATGCTGCATTACCTCTTATAAGGTAGAATGCTTGTTCACAAGAACCTCACTCTCTTCAAAGTGTTCTTCGTGATAGCAGTAGAAGGTTGGGGTATGGGTGTTCTGAGAAAAAGATGTGAGGTCACATTATGGCTGGCCTTATATGAGAAGGTATTAGGGATATCATTCTGACAATAGTCCGAAGGGAATGGATTAGAGAGGGGAAGCACTGGCATGATAGCAAACTGGGAACCTGGTCCTGCATTTGTTCCACAGATGTTTTGTTTGGACAATGTGGTTTATTTAAAATTTTTTATTTCAAATCATAAGCAGGGCACAGACACTTCATTTTATCTCAGATCCTAACATTCCCAATTCCCACTGTGATTTCACATGTTGACCTAACATGCCAAACCCCCGAAAAGCATTTGAGTTTGCTACCCCTGTTAGCAGAATGGAGACCAGACAAAGTACCATGGTACAAATGCCTAATATCTGTGAAAACATCTTTGGACTCACTAATATACATATGATAGTATCCAGTGTTAGTAAGTGGGTGGGGAACTGGCACTTTTCATGCATTGCCTGTGTGTGTGAGGGGGGTGTAAAATGGTATATAATTCTGGTTGGAGAGTAGCTTGATAAAATGTAACAAGAATCTTTGATCTTGTAATTATTATTTTAGGAATCTATTTTAAAGAAACAATAATAGCACAAGGATGGTCAATGCAGCATTTATTTCTAACATGAAAAATTAGAAAACAATTAAACATCAACAATCAAAAATTAGTTTAAAAAAGGTTTTCAAAGCATTTAATGTCACAGTAAAATATTTATGATGTGAAAGTAAGAAACATGTCATAAATGCGTAGTATGTGACAATCCTAATTTTGTAAAAAAAAAAATGAATGAATATATACATAGAACAATGAGTGGCAGTAAATGGATCAAAATGGTCATCTCTGGGTAGAAGGATTATGGATAATTGACATTCTCTCTCTACCTTTCTGCAATTTCCAAATTGTCTAAAATGAGCATGTATTACTTTTATGATAAAAAGAAACCCATACAAGTTATTAAGGGGAAAGAGAACATTGTCGTCATCTAGGTCTGAGAGATAATAGGGACTTGAACTTGGGTGGTAGCAGAGTAAATTGATACAAGAGACATTATTAAAGGAAACTCATTATTAGACTTGGTGACCCTGTGTGGGTAATGAAAGGTAGAGAGAGTAAAAAATAATTTCAAGGTTTCAAGTCTGGGTAATAGAGTGAATGATGGTAACATTGGCAGCAAAATCAGATCAATTATCTTTCTCAGAGATGGGAAAATTGCTTTTTTTTCAATTTGCTGTCTAGAGGATAATACATTGTCCCAATGAGTCAGATAATTCTATAATTTAGTGAGGCGGATACACTGACAAAATGCACTACTAAAAGCATACAATGTTTTTGTTTGTGATGGTTGCAGACCATTAAATAAAATCAGTGTTTCAAACTAAAAGTATAATAAAAATCCCAGACAGGGGAAAGGGTAATAGAACAAATTTTCATGTTTCCTTTTTAACCAAATGAACAATTCTCTTTTTCTACATGGCAGTAATCCTCCCAAATTGAACTGTGTATGCAGCAGAAAAACTAATCTTTTACTTCTAGAATTGAATTATAGAATGACCATG